TCTGCTGCTCTCTTTCTCTGGGGTGCGGGCATTCGGGACGCTCAGAAAGTCAAGGGGACAAGTGGGCAGATGATGGAACGCTGAAAGGCACAGAGAGAACAGACAGGGGGGCATCCCTCAACTCCCACAGCAGAAGGATCGGAGCCCCCACGCTCCTGTAGGTCTTTGGCAAAGCGCTAGTTTCCGTGAAATCTCCCTGCCTCTTCCCTCCAGAAGGCCTTGCGGCGCGGCTGCTTTTCCTGGCTTCTTGCCAGGCCGGCATGCGCACAGAGTCTCCCTCGTTTCCGGGTGTCACTTTAGAGGAGCCCACGTTACCGAAAGCAGCTGCGGTCAATCAGCGTTCAACGCACAGTCCCGTGTGTACAAAGCGATGGTGTGCTTGCGTGTGAAGGAACCTATGTGCCCCAGAAGCGTGCTAAGGCTGGAAGAGTGATGTGCGGAAGATTCTTTCTCTGCCTTTTCGGCTTTCAAAAACGTAGAAAAGCAAATTAAACCACTCGGCGCAAAATGCATACAACACAGAAATGTTTAAATCAAAAACGAAATGACCTCTCTTTGCTTTACTCATCCCCAAATTCCTACTTGAGGATAGTCAGTGTTCACAGTTTAAAGTATGCCTTTGCTGTTATGATTATTGGAAGACACTTCAAATCATTTTTGGAAGTGGAATTGTGGCATGAAATACACATGTAAGTAATTAAACAAGCAATTGCAACTGATTTCTAACTGAGATCCTTGGTCTGTTTTTTTTTTACTTCTGGCGTGCACTATTCTCTACACTCCAAATGAGAATTTCTTTGCTGTTCTTACTGATCATAATCTATATACACCGATTTGGTAACAAGGCACTGGAGTGCCACCAGGGATCAGAAAAATTGCTCTTTCTGCCATAGCATTTAAAAAATATAACTCGGGGCACCTGGGTGGCTCAGTCGGTTAAGAGTCTGACTCTTGACTTTGGCTCAGGTCATGATCTCACGGTTTGTGAGTTTGAGCTCATGTTTGGCTCTTTGCTGACAGCACAGAGAATGCTTGGAATTCTCTCTCTCACTGCCCCTCCTCCGCTCACACTTGCTCTCTCTCAAAAAAATAAATAAATAAAATAAAAATGTAACTCAATGTAAACATCCATTCATATGACATTGTCTCTTAATTGTGGATCCCATTCCTGGAATTTTCTACATCTTCTCCTTGTGCCAGATCACTGTCCACTGAGAATGGAAGACGGCCCAGTTCAATTTTCGGATGACTCCATTATAGACAGAAACGGATCCCAGAAACAAGTCGGCCTGTGGTCCTTCCCCTGTGAACACCTGGTCTGGGCGGTCACGTCTGTCTCCACTGAGCCGCTGGTCAGTCATCGCGCCTTTAAGACACAGAAAGCTTAGCTCGTTGGTCTGGACTCTGTCTCCCTCCCACCCAGTCCTTTGCCGACCCCGCTGCTGAGCTCCTTCTGACTATCACCTGCCCTCTCTGGATTACTCCTCCTGTGCCACTTCCAGGGCTGTCAAAGGGACGAAAGGACGAAAGGACTCTTGGATCCTGCCCTTCCCAGGATCTTATTTGTCTTTTTTATCTTATTTTTCATTTAGAAAAAAATTTTCATGTTTATTTATTTATTTTGAGAAAGAGAGAGAGCACGAGCAGGGGAAGGGCAGACAGAGAGGATCCCAAGCAGGCTCCACGCTGTCAGCGCAGAGCCTGATGCAGGGCTCGAACCCACGAACCGTGAGATCATGACCTGCGCTGAGATCCAGAGTCAGACGCTGAGCCGACTGAGCCCCCCAGGCATCCCCTCATTCTCTCATCATTGCCTCTCACCGTTACCATTTTCTTTAGCCCCTGATCACCGGGCAGGCCCAGATCCTTGCTAATCTTGGCTTTCCCTAAGAGTGTGATGTGTGTGTGTCTATGTGTGGGGATGGTTTGCGTGGACCCATTAGTTATAGCTTTGAAAACTCATTTATCCCCTCCTGAGAGGATTAAAAAAAAGAAAAAAGCAAGGCTCATTTAAAGACCTAAAAACAATTATCCAACTTGGAAACCACGTACAGAATTATACACGTGTCTACTTTTAATGTAAGTGGTAATTTGCTGAAGCGAACCCACAAGAGCGCACCTTCTGGAAGAGTGCGAGGAAAGACTGCCTGTCGTCAACAGAACCAGACGGCTCAGCAAAGGATCGGATCTGTAGCGTGATGGAGCCCAGCTCGTCATCTTCAAACAAGTCAAGGGTTTTCTGCGCGTTGAGAACGCTGTCCAAATCTTCCAAAAATGACTCCTTAGGTGAAACGGATATTCAATCAAGAGTGATTCCATTCTTAACACACCAAACTGAGACGGCCAAAGTATTTAAGGACAATTCAGGTTAATTTTTTTTTTTTTTTTGAAAGCTAAACTTCCCTTAAACCCATCCAATGTCTTTTCTGTCTGAGTAAAAATAAGCGTCGTCCCTCCGTTCATTCACTGGAACAGGAGAGAGACGTGTGCGGTACTGAGGGCATGCAAACGCCCGTGCCACTGGGACCAGACTCATGGCAGGGGTGGGGGGTGGGGGTGCGGTACGAGCGGCGCGGGGACCTGGCTCCAGACGGCTTATGGAGACCACCACACACGCACGGGCTACAAGCAACACGGCGGCAGGGTTCCAGATCCAGCGAGAGAGGGGCCAGGGGACAAAGGGCAGTGAAAGGAACTCTAGAGAGGAGTTCTTACCGAAAAGTACGAGCATTTTCATTTTAAGAATAAATCCGAGCTGTATTTAAAAAACATGCATTTCTACCATCCTCAGGCTCCTCAGGCTCCTGGTGTTTCAGCCCCGGCGGGGGTGGGAGAGGGCAGCGAGCTGGCGGGCAGGGGCCAGCAGGGCCAGGATTGCTGACACGGGGCTACCGGATTTCCTGTCGCTCCCGGAACTCAGCTTATGAGACACACCGATTTCCCACTGGTAGTTTTAGCTACTCTGTGGTGTCGCGGCCTCGGCATCTATTCTGTCCCACCGAGCAGCCTGCGGGGACCCTGATGGTACGCCAGCCGCTCACGCGGTAGCCGGCAGAGTCACAAGCAGGAACGAGCTCCTGGCAGGTCTTCCCTGCCACCTGGGGTCCCCGTACCCAGTGCACCCCTTAAATAGGACCCCCGTGGGGGCACACTGAAACAATGCTCTTTAGATTTGAGCGGACAGATCTGGCCCCGACCCGGGAACCCCGAGTCACTCCACTCACAGACCCCGATGAAGGCACACGCCCCGGGTCCTGCCTCTCTGCCCGCACTCCACCTTGACCTCCCCACACGGTCCCTCGAGGCAGGCTGTGTGCTTCTTGCAGGACCTGTGAGTAAGAAACTTCTCTATTTCAGTGTCTCTTGTCGTCTTCTGCAGAACTGTGGCTCACCATCCCCCTGTGCTCCACTTAACAAATGTTAATTTAACAGGGTCATGACACTATTTTGGGGATTCACATGGAAAGCAATGATGCGGCCAGGAGAAACCTGGAGAGTGTGGAGACGAGATCCAATGACCTTGACGTCCTGGGTAAGATGGGTCCATCTCAGCTTTGACCTGATAGTGGTTTTCTGAAAAATGATTTCTTAAATTAAACAGCAGGCCCCTGGCATGAGACAGGACATCCTCTGAAATCCAGAAGTGCCTGGAAGAAACCTCAAGCAGAGGAAGAGGGCGGGGTATCTAGAGGGAGGGGTGCCTGGGTGGCTCAGCTGGTTGATCACCGACTCTTGGTTTTGGCTCAGGTCATGATCTCACGGATCATGTGTTCGAGCCCCACTTTACGCTCTGTGCTGACCACGTGGAGCCTGCTTGGGATTCTCTTTCTCTCTGCCCCTCCCCCACTCACCCTGTCTGTCTCAAAAAACAAAAACAAAAACAAAACTTAAAAAAATAAGTAAGTTTGGGAGAGGGAAGACATATGATTAAGGCAGAAAATTGGACACTATGGAGAACAGCAGATACAACATAGCACTCACTCGGATTTACCCTCAAAATACCACATGAAGGAAAAACAAAACTCTAGGGACAGAGGCTCAGGATTAGAGAAGAAACAAGAGGAAAGTGAAACAACACTCGTAAGTGTATGAGTCTGGATCATAGATCATAAATAATGTTGCCTTTAAATGTCGCCACAAAGAAGTAACTACAACCTGAGCGGGATTCCCCAATTCCGTGGAGGCCGTGGAAAGGCATGGTTTACACCAAGCAACAGATTAAAAAAGTAGCGGGGTGATTAGCATTTTTTTGTTTGTTTGTTTTGCTTATCTTAAACAAAGCATCTCCTGCAAGGAAAGTGCTAAATTCGACGGTAAAATTAGCACAGGACGCTGTGCCCAAGAGTAGACAGCGGATTCAGATGATAGCGTTTTTTGTTTTGTGTCTTTGTGTTTTTTTTTTCCAAAACCCAGACTAGAAAACAAGTTCAGCTACACAGACAAATTACTCGCAACGAAAATTATATTTCGTTGATTACAACGAACATTATAAAGACGGAAAATGCTTCTGTTGTAGGGCTCATGCAAAAAACTACATGCAGTGTGGGTTCCCAACCAGGGCCTCTGTGGGCTGTGCTTGGGGAAGGGCAGAATCATGAACAACACAGCAGGCGCCGGCCAGATTTTCTTTCCGGATATTAAATGGGCGGGGGAGCCACTTACACAGCAAACGTCAGCAAATAACAAAGATCAAAGGTACTTACCTGCTTTAGGTTTATGTTAGCAACTATCAAAGCGGTGGGGCTCCCTTCTAATCCTGCTTGGATAACCCCCCTTTTGAGGGCTTCTTTGAACTCCGCATGGGCCTGACTGTGAGCTGAGGGCACGGGGGACAGCTTGCACTCCATCAGGTGACACGCCAGGGTCGCACACGCTTCCTTCCCACACCCGTCTACTCCAATCTTTGGAAGAAGAACAATCCAACATGAGATTCCTGTGGACGCCCTGGGAATCTTTCAATCTTTCACTGTTTCCCAAGTCTGTGCACCAGAAATTCACACAGTGAAAGTACCTATTTTTATAACCTTTCTGGGAAACACATTAAACATAGCTAAAGCATTGATCAGAGTTCTGTAAGGTGTTCATACACATTCAGTATTCTCTTCTTTGCTCTTTGTGGTCTCTTGAAATGTATGAGACGCCTTCACTGTAAAGATAACCCCATCTGGAAAAATGACATCGACAGGTTTACAAAATCATCGTTATGTTATTGCCAATATTTGCTTTCTCATTTGTAAGAATTGAAGTAGGTCCTTTATTCTGAGTAGTAAAAACTTAAGTGCTCTTTGGTAATCATGACAAAGTATTACCTTTATTACCAAAGTATTAGCTCTACTGGGGTATAATTTACAGACCACCGGCTTTCATACGTACCATTTGATAATTTTTAGTAAAATCACAGAGTTATGCAACTGTTACCACAGTCCATTTTTTTAAAAAAAAGCTTATTGATTTATTTTGAGAGAAGGTGACAGCCACAGCATGAGCAGGGGAGAGGCAGGGAGAGAGGAAGACAGAGAATCCCAAGCAGGCTCCAGGCTCCATGCTGTCAGCGCAAAGCCCAACGCGGGGACCCGAACCCATGAACCATGAGATCATGACCTAAGCTGAAATCAAGAGTCGTATGCTTAACCGACTGAGCCCTCCAGGCGCCCCTACCACAGTCCATGTTTAGAAAGATACCCCAAGGCCTGTCTACAGTGTTCATCCTGGCATCAGTCCCAGGCAGCCATTAACATGCTCCTGTCTCTACAGATTCGCAGTGTTTGGATGTTTCCTACAAACTGAATCATAAACATGAAGCCTTTTGCACATCACTCACCAGGATGGTTTGTGGTTCCTGTGTGTTAGTAGTTTGCTCCTTTTTACTGCTACATAGTATCCTGTTGGATGGGATAGATCACGTTTTGTTTATGCATCATCTACTGATGGATGTTCCGAGAGTTTCCGTTTTGTGGCCGCTATAATAATGCTCCCGTGATCCTTTCTGTGCAAGTCGTTGAGAGAACATTTGTTTTACTTTCTTTTGCATAGATACGGAGGAATGGAACCACTCAGTCAAAGGGTAAATCTGGGTTCACTTCAGAAGAAATGCTCAAACTGTTTTACATCAGCAATGTATCCGAGGTCCAGTTTATCCACATCCTGGTCAACACTGGCTACTGACCATCTTTTTGACGACAGTCATTCAAGTAGATGTGTGGTGACATCTCAGTGTGGTTTCAATTTGTGTTTCCCTGAGGATTAATGATGTTGACTATTTTTTTTGCATGCTTACTAGCATTCATGCATCTTCTCTAGTGAATTATCTAGTTAAATCTCTTGTGCATTAAAAAAAAATAAGTTTTTTAAAAAAAATTTAGGAGGGTTTTGATTTACAATAAAATTGCCAAGATACAAAAGATAATTGGCATATACCCGACATCCAGTTTCCCCTACGAACATCTAACTAGTAGGATGCATTTGTTACCACTAGTGAAACAATACTGATACATAATTATTAACTAGATCCATACATTATTTGGCATTCCTTCGTTTTCCCTTAATGTCCCCTTCTGGGTCAGGGTCCTATCAAGGACACCACATCACATTTAGTAGTTAAATCTCCGTAGGTTCCTCTGGCCTATGACGGTTTCAGACTTTTCGTTTTTGTTTGTTTGGTTTTGATGACCTGGGCAATTTTGAAGAGTGCTGGTCAGGCGTCGTGGTTGGGACCTTCTTGGTGTTTTCCTTGTGACCACACTAGGGGTACGTGCTTTGGGGTGGGAAGACCACAGGGATAAAGTGCCATTTACCAACACGATTTATCACCGTCGATGCTGACCTTGGCCACCTAGATAATGTTGTGTGTGTCAGGCTTCTCCACTGTGAAGTTACTGCTTTTCCCCCTTTCCACTCTGCACCCTTTGGGAGAAAGTCACTGATAGCAGCTCACAGTCAAGGAGGGGGTAGTTATGCTCCAACTCCTTGCGGGCAGATATCTGCGCACATTATTTAGAATTCTGTATGGGAGATGTGTCTCTTTACTCCACTTGTTTACTTATCCAATCATGTTTTTACATGCATGGACTCATGGAGATTTATCATTTGAGTTATAACCAATGCTACTTTGTTTTGTTGTTTTGGGGTACGGCCACCGGGAGATCTCGAAGTTGGCTCCTTTTATCCCTCTGACGTACTCCTGTCACTGAGTCTTTTGAAGCACTTCCTTTCTGGCCCTACAAGTCAAGACATTCCATGGTCATACGGTGCCTCTCATGCCAGCCCTCAGTAAGCCATTTTCCCCAGGAGCCCTGGCCCTTTTATTGAAGGATGGCATCAGAAACCAAGACCTGGGTGCTGGGTGTGCCTGTGTTCCTGCTGCACGTTTCCAGCTTCTCTCGGCTGATACAACGAGGACGCTTGTGGTTGTATGCCAACCTTGTGCACGCACACTTTCCCGTAAGTACGTCTGTATGTAACCATCCACGTTAAATCCAATGTGAGTTCGACTGAGGTCTTCACCTCTCATCCGTCACTCCACGGATCACTGTCGCCTCTTCCGCTGGCTCGTCTGTAACTGCCTACTCCCGTAGTGAGAACACTGGCTGCCCCGCGTGCCATCCTTTACCTAACTGTTCAGCTGTGACACGTACGTACACACATATGGTGGCATCGGAAGTTAACCGTCCTCCCGCGGACATCACTCCATCAGCTCCAGATGAGTGCTCACGAGCGGTTTCCTCCACTCATTTCCAGAGTTCCTCAGGTCACTTCCTTTCCCCCCCTCCCTCTTCGGGGAGCTCGCTGCACCTTTGGCAACAGTCTGATCATCCTGTCACGTTCTGCACTCCATCCCGGGACCCCCGACCGCCTAAATGACTTTTTGAAAGTTTTATACATCAAGGTTCTCTCTTTGGCCTGGACACACGCACGTTCCTGTTCCTCCTTACAGCATCGTACAGAATAGCCGCTCCTCTCCGACAGCAGTGTCTCACCCTCCCTTCTCTCTGCAAGCCCGTGCCGACCCCCAATCATGTGTCATCTCTGTGGTTTTGCTGCTTCCAGAATGTCACAGGGCTGGAATCACACGGTATGTAGGATTTCCAGACTGACTTTTTTCACTCAGCAACAAGCCTTTATGATTTGCCCATGTCTTTCTGTGGCTTGATTATTTCATTTCTTTGGGTCTTTGGATAATATTCCATTGTACTCCACTTCATCTCTTATTGAAGGACGTTTCGGTTGTGTCAGGTTTAGAATGAAGTCACTATCATCACGCATGGGAAGGTTTTTGTGAGGATATAAGTTTTCAAATATGTTGGGAGCGTGACTGCTAGACTATGGGGTGAGGCTACGTTTAGTTTTGTAAACACCCACCAACTTATCTTTCAAAGTGACTGTGCCATTTTGCCTTTCCACCAGCGAAAAAACAGAGTATCCTTGCTAGCAATTCCTACTATGTTTTTTTTTTTAATTTTTAATGTTTTATTAGTGAGACAGCGTGCGCAGAAGGGAGGGGCAGAGAAAGAGGGAGACACATAATTGGAAGCAGGCTCCAGGCTCTGAGCTGTCAGCACAGAGCCCGATGTGGGGCTTGAACTCACCAACTGTGAGATCATGACCTGAGATGAAGTCGGGCTCTTAACCGACTGAACCAAGTGTCCCTTGGACTATTTTTAATCAGTTGGTTCATCCTTAGGATTTTCTAGAAACAGGATCATGTGGATTGTGAATAAAGACAGTTTTACTTCTTATAAGTATCTGGATGCCTTTTTCCCCCTTTTTCTTGTCTAACTGCATTGGCTGAAGCACCAGTGTATGGCTGAGTAGAAATTGTGAGAGACAACATCCTTGCTTTGTTCCCGGTCTGAGGGAAAAACATTCTTTCACCAGTAAGCATGAGGCTAACTACAAGTTTTTCACAGATGCCTTTTATAGGTTGGTGAAGCTCCCTTCTGTTTCTTTTGCTGAGAGTTTAAAACGATCATAAATGGTGTTGGATTCTATCAAACACATTTTCTGCACAGACACTCCTGTGGTTTTTGCCCTGTGTCGTATTAATACGATTCACTGCAGCACCGCTTTCTGGATATTAATGCAGACACGCATTCCTGGGAGAAGTCTCACTTGGCCACCGTGGAGGATACCTAGCATGTTGCTGCATTTGGTTCACGGATACCTTGTTCAGGAAATTTACAACTCTATTCACAAGAGATCTTGGTCTGTAGTGTTCTCTTGCCTTGATGTGTCTGTCTGGTTTCGGTATCGGGCGATACTGGCCTCATGGGTGGGTTGTGATCTGTTCCCTCGTCTATTCTCTGGAAGAGTTTGTAAGGATTCATTTAATTGTTTCTTAAATGTTGGACAGATTTTTCCAGGGAAGCCGTTTGGCCCTGGGCTTTTCTTCATGGGAAGTTTTCAAATTCCCAGTTAAATCTCGTTGTGGAGGTCTATTCAGACTTCTGGTTTCCTCAGTTCAATCATCTGTGTCTTCCCAGCAAGTGTCCGTTTCCTCTGGGCCATCCGATGTGCAGGCAGACAGGTGTTCACAACATTCTCGTAGAACCTTTATTTCTGTAATGTTGGTAGTTTCGTCCTCTCCTTAATTCCTGGTTTCAATAATTTTAATAATGGACTTTTCTTTATCTTTTTTTCTTGGTTTGTCAATTTTGTTGATCTTTTCAAAGAGCAAACCTTCGGTTTCATTGATATTCTCTATTGTGTTTCTGTTCTCTACTTTCTTCTCTCATCTTTATTGGTTCTTCCTTTCTGCTTGCACTGGGTTTTCTTTCCTTCTTGTAGTTTCCTAATGTGGAAGGTTGAGATTTTTCTTCTTTTTAAAAATATCGGCATTGATAGCTGTAAATCTCCCTCCAAGCACCGCTCTATGTATCTTGCGTTTTTATCCATCTCAAAGTAT